GTATACCTGTCCACACACCTGGAGAAGGTAGAGTGGAGTGCCCGTATACCTGTCCACACACCTGGAGAAGGTAGAGTGCAGTCCCACACCTGCAGCAGGCCGAGAAAGATGAATTAATATATCAGATGAGAACACATTTATCGTAGTATTTATAGATCTGATTACATCAACTCAGTATGACAAGGAGGAGGAGCAGGAGGAGGAGGAAGTTTGATGAAAGAATAATAAGACAAACGGGAGAAAATATAAATATTTTGGGTCGAGTTGCATTTCACTCCAACGGCAGCACCACCAACGGCAGCACCATTACCAACGGCAGCACCACCAACGGCAGCACCACCAACGGCAGCACCATTACCAACGGCAGCACCACCAACGGCAGCACCACCAGCGGCAGCACCACCAGCGGCAGCACCATTACCAGCGGCAGCACCATTACCTACGGCAGCACCACCAACGGCAGCACCACCAACGGCAGCACCACCAACGGCAGCACCATTACCAACGGCAGCACCACCAACGGCAGCACCACCAACGGCAGCACCACCAACGGCAGCACCATTACCAACGGCAGCACCACCAACGGCAGCACCACCAACGGCAGCACCACCAACGGCAGCACCACCAGCGGCAGCACCACCAGCGGCAGCACCATTACCAGCGGCAGCACCATTACCAACAGCACCATTACCAACGGCAGCACCACCAACGGCAGCACCACCAACGGCAGCACCACCAACGGCAGCACCACCAACGGCAGCACCATTACCAACGGCAGCACCACCAACGGCAGCACCACCAACGGCAGCACCACCAACGGCAGCACCATTACCAACGGCAGCACCACCAACGGCAGCACCACCAACGGCAGCACCACCAACGGCAGCACCACCAACAGCAGCACCACCAACGGCAGCACCATTACCAACGGCAGCACCACCAGCGGCAGCACCACCAACGGCAGCACCATTACCAACGGCAGCACCACCAACGGCAGCACCACCAGCGGCAGCACCACCAACGGCAGCACCACCAACAGCAGCACCACCAACGGCAGCACCATTACCAACGGCAGCACCACCAACGGCAGCACCACCAGCGGCAGCACCACCAACGGCAGCACCACCAACGGCAGCACCACCAACGGCAGCACCACCAACGGCAGCACCACCAACGGCAGCAGGTCCTATTAGCAGCGTTGCCATTCCTGCTGCCATTACCATTTCGTTCTTCTCTACCAGTTGCCATAGTGTCCACCATACTTGCCATAGTGGCCACCATAATTGCCATAGTGTCCACCATACTTGCCATAGTGGCCACCATACTTGCCATAGTGGCCACCATACTTGTCATAGTGGCCACCATACTTGCCATAGTGGCCACCATACTTGCCATAGTGTCCACCATACTTGCCATAGTGGCCACCATACTTGCCATAGTGTCCACCATACTTGCCATAGTGGCCACTATACTTGCCATAGCGGCCACCATACTTGCCATAGTGGCCACCATACTTGCCATAGTGGCCACCATACTTGCCATAGTGGCCACCATACTTGCCATAGTGGCCACCATACTTGCCATAGCGACCACCATACTTGCCATAGCGACCACCATACTTGCCATAGCGGCCACCATACTTGCCATAGCGACCACCATACTTGCCATAGCGACCACCATACTTGCCATAGTGGCCACCATACTTGCCATAGCGACCACCATACTTGCCATTGCGACCACCATACTTACCATAGCGACCACCATACTTGCCATAGCGACCACCATACTTGCCATAGCGGCCACCATACTTGCCATAGCGACCACCATACTTGCCATAGCGACCACCATACTTACCATAGCGACCACCATACTTACCATAGCGACCACCATACTTGCCATAGCGACCACCATACTTACCATAGCGACCACCATACTTGCCATAGCGACCACCATACTTGCCATAGTGGCCACCATACTTACCATAGTGGCCACCATACTTGCCATAGCGGCCACCATACTTGCCATAGCGACCACCATACTTGCCATAGCGGCCACCATACTTACCATAGTGGCCACCATACTTGCCATAGCGGCCACCATACTTGTCATAGTGGCCACCATACTTGCCATAGCGGCCACCATACTTACCATAGTGGCCACCATACTTGCCATAGCGACCACCATACTTGCCATAGTGGCCACCATACTTGCCATAGTGGCCACCATACTTGCCATAGCGACCACCATACTTGCCATAGTGGCCACCATACCATAGTGGCCACCATACTTGCCATAGTGGCCACCATACTTGCCATAGTGGCCACCATACTTGCCATAGCGACCACCATACTTGCCATAGTGGCCACCATACCATAGTGGCCACCATACTTACCATAGTGGCCACCATACTTGCCATAGTGGCCACCATACTTGCCATAGTGGCCACCATACTTGCCATAGTGGCCACCATACTTGCCATAGTGGCCACCATACTTGCCATGGTTGACCGCCCTGGCTCCCGCCTCCACCATGATTCTTATCACTAATCATTATCATCAATTTTTGCTATCACTTCCCCTCTGTCACCTCCCTCACTCCTCACCCGCGATGGGTGCTTCCCCCCTCACTCTCTCTCCCCTTTCCCACCTCCCTTTCCCTTCCCCTTTCCCTTCCCCTTTCCCTTCCCCTTTCCCTTCCCCTTTCCCTTCTGATACTTGGGAAAACATAGGCTACGGTGCATAGCTGAGTATGCTGTATAGAGGCATTATCTTGTATACTCACAAGACTTAGTGTATGTTATACATTGTGAATATACACCCCAAGGGATTCCCCTCTACCCCTAAAACCGGTTGCCACACCTCCTCCCCCCCCCCCTTCCTCTACACCCCAGCCCCAGCACTTGCAGCAAGATATCGGCACTGAACGCGCCCCGGGGGATCTGCTATCGCGCGCGCTAAGATGGAACTCTGCGGTCGGGGGGAAAGAAACGCCCCCACCCGACCAAAAAAAATAGAACGCGGAAGATGGATGAGCGTTCAGTTTTTGAGGCGACTGAGAAGGGGGTTGAGATTTGTCTCAAGTTTTGTCATAACATTTTTTGTGGGATTCGTGAGATTATATGTTTAATGTTAGTTTATGGTTGAGGGAGATGGGGAAGAGAGAGAGGGAGGGGGGGTAGGGGGATGGAGGAATGGGTAGTGTGTAAGAAGAGAGGAAGAGTGATGGAGAATAGCCTGGGGGGGGAGAGTGAGGTCTGGAGGGTGTGATGGAGCTCATAACTGATTCTGAATGGATTTGTGAGTGTGGTATACAGGTTTGTGGTGTTTGGGGGAGCTGTTTGTGTATGGAGCAGACATGTGTTGGTGTGTGTATGTGGAGCAGACATGTGTTGGTGTGTGTGTGTGGAGCAGACATGTGTTGGTGTGTGTATGTGGAGCAGACATGTGTTGGTGTATGTGGAGCAGACATGTGTTGGTGTGTGTATGTGGAGCAGACATGTGTTGTGTGTGTATGTGGAGCAGACATGTGTTGGTGTGTGTGTGTGGAGCAGACATGTGTTGGTGTGTGTGTGTGGAGCAGACATGTGTTGGTGTGTGTATGTGGAGCAGACATGTGTTGGTGTGTGTATGTGGAGCAGACATGTGTTGGTGTGTGTATGTGGAGCAGACATGTGTTGGTGTGTGTATGTGGAGCAGACATGTGTTGGTGTGTGTATGTGGAGCAGACATGTGTTGGTGTGTGTATGTGGAGCAGACATGTGTTGTGTGTGTATGTGGAGCAGACATGTGTTGGTGTGTGTGTGTGGAGCAGACATGTGTTGGTGTGTGTGTGTGGAGCAGACATGTGTTGGTGTGTGTATGTGGAGCAGACATGTGTTGGTGTGTGTATGTGGAGCAGACATGTGTTGTGTGTGTATGTGGAGCAGACATGTGTTGGTGTGTGTATGTGGAGCAGACATGTGTTGGTGTGTGTATGTGGAGCAGACATGTGTTGTGTGTGTATGTGGAGCAGACATGTGTTGGTGTGTGTATGTGGAGCAGACATGTGTTGGTGTGTGTATGTGGAGCAGACATGTGTTGGTGTGTGTATGTGGAGCAGACATGTGTCGTGTGTGTATGTGGAGCAGACATGTGCGCACCTATTTGTGTGTGCAGGATCGAGCATTGACTCTTGGATCCGGCCCTTCGAGCCATCGGTTGATTAGCTAATGTAGCTGTGTGTGTGTGTGCTCACATATTTGTGCCTACAGGATCGAGATCTAGTTCTTGGAACCCCGTTTTCCTAGCCGCCGATTGTTTAATGCAGTGACTATATACTGACCTATTTCCCTATCATATCTGCTTATAAAAGTTATGAATGACGTTTGCCTCTACAACCTTTTGGGCATCGGACTCGATAGGTTAGAGGTTGGTTGGGATCGAACCTATTCCGGCTAGGCAGAACAGCTGTATGTTGTACAAGGTGTCGCTCTTACCGTCCAGTCCACTTGGGCTGGACGGTAGAGCGACGCTCTCGCTTCATGCAGGTCGGCGTTCAATCCCCGACCGTCTAAGTGGCTGGGCACCATCCCTTCCCCCCCTCAGTTGTCAGGGCTCCTGACAGCTGAGTGGACAGCGCTTCGGATTCGTAGTCCTGAGGTTCCGGGTTCGATCCCCGGTGAAGGCGGAGACAAATGGGCAAAATGTTTATTTCACCCTGATGTCCCTATTACCTAGCAGTAAATAGGTACCTAGGAGTTAGGCAGCTACTACAGGCTGCTTCCTGGGGGGGGGGGTAACAAAAAGGAGGCCTGGTCGAGGACAGGGCCACGGGGACGCTAAGCCCCGAAATCATCTCAAGATAACCTCAAGATAACCGTCCCATCCCAAATCCTTATCCAGATTCCTTCCCAGTGCTACACAGTCGTAATGGCTTTTCGTTTTTTCCTGATAGTTTCCATCCTTTCCTTTTATGGCACCTAGAGCTGCCGCTTGAGGGGTTGTCTGGCACCTAGTGAACTCCTGGACTACCGCTTGAGGAGTTGTCTGGCACCCAGTCCCTCCTGGACTACCGCTTAAGGGGTTGTCTGGCACTCAGTCCCTCCTGGACTACCACTTGAGGGGTTGTCTGGCACCTAGTGCACTCCTGGACTACCGCTTGAGGGGTTGTCTAGCGCCCAGTTCCCTCCTGGACTACCACTTGAGGGGTTGTCTGGCACCTAGTGCCCTCCTGGACTACCGCTTAAGGGGTTGTCTGGCACCCAGTCCCTCCTGGACTACCGCTTAAGGGGTTGTCTGGCACTCAGTCCCTCCTGGACTACCGCTTGAGGGGTTGTCTGGCACCTAGTGCACTCCTGGACTACCGCTTGAGGGGTTGTCTGGCACCTAGTGCCCTCCTGGACTACCGCTTGAGGGGTTGTTTGGTTCACTTAAGGTGTAAATACAACCTATTAAGTAAGAACTCTCAGATATCTACGTTTTCTACGCATCGGACTCGATAGGTTATATTTGGGTTGATTGGGTGCGTACGTTCCTGGTTGAAGGTTGGCTTTGTTAAGGAGTGGCTAAACCAGAGAGCAGGCAGCTTCCACCTCTACTTTCTAACCTTTCCCGTGATTCATTTGGCTTAGTTGATTTTTTTATTTATTAATTTATATATATATATACAATAAGGTACATTGGGTTTGTGAGAATACATTGGATAGTACAGTATTTACATTCTTGTAAAGCCACTAGTACGCACAGCGTTTCGGGCAGAGGCGCGGCGTGGCGCGGGAAGATAGCGGCGCATCTACTAGATATTTTGATGGTGTAACGACATTGTACCAACGTTGACAATAATATTGTACCAACGTTGACATAACATTGTACCAACGTTGACAAGAATATTGTACCAACGTTGACACAACATTGTACCAACGTTGACAAGAATATTGTACCAACGTTGACACAACATTGTACCAACGTTGACAAGAATATTGTACCAACGTTGACACAACATTGTACCAACGTTGACAAGAATATTGTACCAACGTTGACACAACATTGTACCAACGTTGACAAGAATATTGTACCAACGTTGACATAACATTGTACCAACGTTGACAAGAATATTGACACAACATTGTACCAACGTTGACAAGAATATTGTACCAACGTTGACATAACATTGTACCAACGTTGACAAGAATATTGTACCAACGTTGACACAACATTGTACCAACGTTGACAAGAATATTGTACCAACGTTGACATAACATTGTACCAACGTTGACAAGAATATTGTTCCAACGTTGACCCAACACTCTACCAACGTTGTCACAACATTGTACCAACGTTGATTCAGCAGTGTACCAACGTTAACACAACATTGCAGTAACGTTGACACAATATTGTACTAACATTGAGATGGGGGGGGGGCAGAGAATGAGGGAAGGGAATGGGAGGAAGGGAGGGAGGGAGGGAAGGATGATGGAGGGAGTGAGGGAGGGAGAGAGCGGTGAACTCTCCACTTCTCTACGTCCTCGGAATTTCACCAACGTCAAAGTGGTTGCGTCCCAAGCGACCACTGTGGAGAGTCACATTAAACTATGCAAATCTAAGAGCAGTTCTTCAGCGTGTGAAACCGGCTACCTTACCGTCGCTCCACCCCTGCCCAAAGTTGACAATTTCCGACGCAGATATGAAGTTAGAACCTTTTAAACCGGTTGTACTTGAGGATATATGTGTACCGAGAGCCGGCGAAGCCAAGGGGTGAGGCTGGCAGCCCCAGCCGACTCAGATATATCGTGTGATTGTATGTTTTCGTAATGGCACAGTAGTTTCACAGGTTATTATACATGTTTACCCTAAGGATGAATGTTATATTGCCACCTTGGCGTCACGGGGGACCTATACCACCCGGCCCTTGCAGCCGTGGCCATCGCCTCTAGCGCCTGATGCCGTAGAGATCAATTCCCACCTGGCCAGCACAGGCGGTCCTTACGTCCCTTAACAGTCGCAAGTGTCTCACTGGAGTGACGTCAGATCACAGGCTTGACAGACTTGCCCAATTTAAATACATTATTTAAAGCAAACACTCAACAAAGTTTGAAGTTGAGGAGGACGAAGTTATGGGCGCGGGGACGGCGGGTTTCATGCGGCCAAATAGGATTAAAAAGAGTCAACGTGCTGGAAGATTGGCTCCAAAGTGAAATTAAGAGAGTGAGACCATAATGTGTGTGACGTTATTATGTCCTGTGTGTGCACCACGTGTCCTCAAACTTGTTACGAATTTTTGATGAAATATATGATGGTATTTTTTTTATTTTGTTCTGTAGGTAAGTTTTTTTTTTAAGGTGTGAAAGTTAATATATTGAATTCTGCGTTCGGGTTATTTTTCCGTTTCTCTCTCTTCCATCCGTGCTCTCTCTCTCCTCTCTCTCTCTCTCTCTCTCTCTCTCTCTCTCTCTCTCTCTCTCTCTCTCTCTCTCTCTCTCTCTCTCTCTCTCTCTCTCTCTCTCTCTCTCTCTCTCTCTCCCTC